TTCATCATAAATACCTTTTCCAAAGAGAATTCCTTCGCTGCTCTGCTGCTTATCACCGACAGGTCTTCAACAAACTTGTCCAGTCCAAGAGCCAGCATTTCTTGAAGGGTCGTGTCATCTTTGGGAGTGATATTAAAACCAACCTTCAAACAAACATAATCATTATTTTGAATTCCGTCGAATTGCATTTTTTATGGTATTTCTATGAAGTGAAAACTCCGCGTCTTCTAGTTTTAGACAGCTTTTCGAAACCCAGTTTCTTTTTCCTATACAAACACTGTACCCGTATACTCATAATAGAAGACGTTCTTGTAAGCTGACCATCACCGTCAGTTGTATACAAATAGACTGAGGTGATCCCAACTGGCTTTCACGATCTCGTGACTTTCACTTTCTGAACGAATATTAGCAAAACTACGTTCGAAACAGCCTAACGATCCCTTTTAAAATGATGAAATGATGGTGCGAACTGCGGTGAATAAAAGAAAAGGGAATTTGATCGTCCCTTTTCAGTTTAGATTTGTTCAAATGACAAGCCGATGAGATGGACAAAAAATTAGATGAACAATCTCAGTTGCTTGAAAAGCAGCTTTCAATCAAAAATATGAAACTATTGCACGTCCTTTATAAATGCTATGTAATGTTATATATATTTGTTCAATTTCAGGAAAACCTTTTTCATAGGCGAACTGCTCTAAAGGCCGATTTAGACGACACAACGTTTGCTTACAACCATCGCATGCGACCTCCTTAAGTCATCCTTACAACATGGCTACAACTGTCGTAGGTCTATTAAGCAATTGTTTAAAATCCCTACGACAGTTGTAGCCATATCGTAAGGATGACTTACGTAGGTTGTATGCGATGGTTGTAGGCAAAAGTTGTGCCGTCTAATTCGGCTTTAATGGATCCAGTCGCGTAGCGTCCTTTACGCATATACGCACATGCGTTAAAGTGGCAAGGAAACATTGAATATTATATTCACAAAAATTACTGAAAAATTTACATAAAATTGATCCCTTTTATATGCCCTCGATGTCTCTCAAAACGCTGGAAATCACATTTCCAAGAGTTATTATTTCAAAATTTCCTGGGGGAGGGCAGACTACCTTAATACTCCCACCTTTGGCGATCGTTAGACCCCCAGATCCAAAATATGTGTCGCGGTCCCTGACATGTGCGTACTAGCTAAAAAGCCCACGCTACGCGCCTGGGATCACCTTTCGAAAAGGTGTTTCACGGAAGATGTGTTTTTCGGAAGGTGTTTCAACAATGATCATTAAATAAACAAGCAGTAGATTGAATTTACCTTCATRCTCATCATATCCCAGTGTCTGTTCTTAATCCCTGGCGTACACAATGCATTGATCAAAGGCATGTTGATTTTAAAGTTTTCCAGTCTCGCTTTCACGGTGGACGCAACGCGCAAAGGACCACGGAACTCAGGATGCGCAAACTCTTTGGTTAGTTTGTAGCTTGTGCGCCATAATTCTGACACCTATNGGTATGCTAATGAAGTCAAAAGTGATAGGGGAGGGGTGGTCAAAACGGGTAGGAGGTAATTCATTATCATAAAATTTTGAGAGAATTTTGTGTTGGTAAATTGTGTGCATCTTCTTTGTTGGTAAATCGAGGAGGATGATTATCATAAATTGTGGGCGACTTTTGTGTTGGTAAATTGTGGGCGATCTAATTATGCTGTGTTGGTAAATCGAGGAGGGTAATTATCATAAATTGTGGGTATCGAAACGTCCTAAAAACGGATCGAAACAACTTGGATCGAAACCTCTTTGGATCGAAACGACCGGATACCAAGTCTTGTGGTTTCTTGTGGTTTCTTGAGTGTGAAAGCGCTTGCCTCACCATTTATCGAATAGCTTTCATACAGTCAACATCGATTTGTGTTTAAACAACATTTGTGATAGTCATGGCGGAATTTTTCTTTGAACYATCTTATGATAAACCCGAACTTTTGGTAAGTATCTGGTAATTCATTTTAACTTTAGTATTATCACGCAATACTAGTCATTTACGCTGACTTTTGGTTGGATTTAGTTTGGTGATTTCGATTTAGCTTGTGAAGAAGCTTACCGCAAAGAAAAACAAGAAAATACTATTCAATCAAACATATAGTTTTTATGTGGAAATTGTTATCAACAGAAGATAGGAACTGATTTTCTTTTTAGACTTTCAATCAATTTGATCTGCTGCTTATTCTTATTTTGAGTTTTCTCTCGATTGCTTATTTTTCAACGTCTTGATTTCAGCGTTTGCGGGATGAAGATATTATTCTTGAATCAAATCTGGATAATTCTTTGTCCGGCTGGGAACACGAATCGGTAAATGAGTTTGTATTATGTACTGCATTCCAACATAAAATTGTCCCTTTGCTATTGAACTACTGAGTTATTTATATTTTGCTTATATTTCATTTTCACGAGTTTTTACCTTTTTTTTCTTAAACAATGTTCAATTTCGTGTAAGTTCAAAAAAATTGAAGTAGTTATATATCTTATTGTAGATTGTCGAAGTAGAGAGAAAAGATCAGCACGGTAGCGGCTTTTCACCCACGAAGGTAAGCAATTAAGATGTTTGATATTATGTGTATATAATTACGTTTTTTCACATTATTGATTAATATAGAATCAGTCGCACGAATATACAGTTAATTAATTACAAATAATAATATGTAACATTTCTTATTGAGTTAAATTAAAAAAAAAATCGCCGTATAAAATAGTCCGAATAAATACAACTTCGTTGATAGAATCTCAAATCTTCACAACTCTATCACCTCAAAATTCATTTTTTTTTTTTTTTGTTTAGATTTTATTTGACTCGTTGAAACCGTTGTCTTAGTTCAGTTTTTGAAGATTGACTATTAATTATTACTTAAATCTGTTTAAGGAACCATTACACAAAAGAAGTCGTCTTGAATGTGAAACGTGTCGAAAATCATTTTCAAGAAAAGATGCCTTGAAACGACACGAGAAGGTTCATCAAAATGAGAAAAATCATCAATGCGGAAAATGCGGGAAGAAATTCAGCCGTCGGGACTACTTAAAAAAGCATCAGAAAGTTCACGAGAAACATAGTGTTGAGCGTGAGTATAAATGTTTAACCTGCGGGAAAACGTTTAGTTCAGTTGGGCAATTGAAATCCCACCAGAAGTATGCAGTCCACTCTTTGGCCAAACAAACACGTCAAGTTGAGAAACGAAAGCGAAGCCAAGTAGACGATCAATCAAGTAAGTATACTTTTTACGTTTATACCGGACAGTTGTAGCATTGAACAATCACCTCTCAACAATCATCCATATATTCTTTCTTCCTTTTTTAATTTTATCTCACCTTTCGTTTATATTTGCCATTCAAAATTCATGCATTAAATGCATAAAAAAAATCTTAATGCATGGATAAATCCTCTTGGTTGACTTGATTAATTTTTGCTGTTTGTTTTCTTTTCTTCAGAAAAACGTGATTCCAAACGACCGAGAACTAGTGTCAACGAAGGAGCCAGAACAAGTTGGCAGTCTGATCCTATAGTCATGCCACCCAATGTTATTATCCCCAACGGCGACCAGCAAATCCGCACTATGATAAGTCAACACTGGAGTGAGATTCGTACCAGACAGAGTCGCAGAAATAGGTTACAGGATTGGTATAACTTTAGGCTGGAATCCTACGACCGCCAAGTATTCCATCAATACCTCCAACAGATATTAGCTGATCAAACCACTGTATTCTGGTTGAACATGTCCTTTGGGTTTGTTCTGCGTAACACCGAGACCG